CCAGTCTTACACTGCTAAATTAGGGACGGCTAGCGCAGATAGCCCTCGTGTAGCTTTGCGCAAAATTAAAAACAAACCGTTTGAAAATGAAAACAGCAGCACGAATCTTTTTTCACTATTAGGCTCCCATCAGTTGAACCGATAAAGACTGTATATTAGTCACTAGTTTCGAGACAGGAGGAAATAACATCTACTGATCCTACTTCTTCTTACTTCTCCACGCGCATCAGTGACTTACCCTAGCGGAAGATTACCTGTCAAACAAATCTGTGACTGGTTCAAAGAAAAATAATTGTCTGATTTTACGGCGAAAGACCGTCATGACTATCGAACAAACTAATCTAGGCTTCCAGTTGAATAATTACGTAAACTTAACATGCGTGAAATTAACACTACGAAGAATAAGAAAAGAAATCGTAGTTGTTTTTCAAAAGGTTGGAACAGTCTGTTGTTCATTATTATGAAACATTGTAATAGAGACAATGACCTCAGATATATGTTATTTAGTTTATAACCAGTTTCATCAGCAAATCTGCTGCCATAACGATGAGATGATTAGATAATGTACGAAAGCCCTCCAGCTTATAATGATAAAAACGGGGTTTCGATACCTGTGGTGGGCAGAGCACAGATAGCCAAATGCGTAGCTTTGCGCTTAACAACAAACAAATAAAAAACAAACGGAAATTCCAGTCACCCACCCCGTGGGTCAGCGATATGATTACGGGCTTGCAACGCTAAAATCCGAGGCTCGAGTTCCCGCGGTGGACAACGTGCAGATAACCCATTGTGACCTTTGCAGTAACAAAACAATAACTGAAAATATCAACTTCAACTTAATTAGTGTTTTCTTTTGGGTTGAGAACCGTCGGGGGGAGAGGATAGAGCAATAGTAATCGTTGTTCCATGTTCGAGCTGTGGGGGAGCGGACTTTAACTATTTTTGTTTGTTTGCTGTTGTTATATTGACAAAACATTAAATCCTTAGAATGTTTACTCACTTTAAACAGTTATTGATTCAAGTAATGGATGATATCTAAGTGAGGTTTTGTTAAAAACAAATATAATTAGAAGGGAGTTTACATGTCAACTGTTGGCTCGCTGGGTTGATAGGTGGGAGGTCCTTCTTAAGGGCTCTCGCTGGGTTGAAGAAAAAGGAGGTAGGTCCTTCTCAAAAGGCTCTCGCTGAGTTGAAAGAGAAAGGATGGTGGTCCTTTTCAAAGGGCTCTCGCTGAGTTGAAAGAGAAAGGAGGGAGGTCCTTTTCAAAGGGCTCTCGCTGAGTTGAAAGAGAAAGGAGGGAGGTCCTTTTCTAAGGGCTCTCGCTGGGTTAAAAGAGAAAGGAGGGAGGTCTTTTTCAAAGGGCTCTCGCTGGGCTGAAAGAGAAAGGAGAGAAATCCTTCTCAAAGGGCTTGTTCCGAAGCCTAAAAATGGTCAGTATAGTAGTAGAAATTGGTGAAGAAAACGTGAAATCCCCAGAAAGTTCCAGTGAGGAGTTTCACCAAGTTTAGCACAAAGTTACAACTTATATTTGTAACGATATTCTATTTTTCAAGTCATTCAGTTTGATTGCTTGTTTAATTTTTTGGGATTTTGCGTAAAGTAACTCCAGGGATATCTGCAATAGCCGTCCCTAATTTAGCAGTGATACACCGGAGGGAAGGCAGCTAGTCAACGCCACCCACCACCAATTCTTAGGCTACTCGTTCAACAACGAATAGTGGTATTGGCCATCATATTATAACACCACCACGACTGAAACCGCGATCATGTTCAGTGACGTAGATTCCAGCTTGCAACCCACCGTATTGCGAGTTGAGAGCCCTAACCACTAAGCCATCAGATCATTCGGTGACGAGACTCATTTTTGAGCTGCTTCGCCAGCCGGTGGCTCAGTAGTAAGTCTGAGGCGTTATAACACTAAAAAAAGCTGGTTCCGATACCCTTATTGGGCAGATAACCCCTTTTGTATGTTTTGGGACAAATAAACAAGCATTTTGATCCACAAAAATCCGCTTATTAAACTGTACATGTTGTCCAACCACTATTACTTTGTCTGCGCATCTTGATATTTTTCGTTGTGGACTGTAAACCATTTTTGTCAAATAATTTCTGTTTGTTTCTTTGTACTCTGTGAATCTGGCCATATTTAGCCTTTTTTTTCTCCTATCTAAGACTATCGTATGATGAACACTTTTCCTTGTTATGATTCAGCAAATTATATTTTTTTTTACCTTTTTCACTTCTGGAGGTGACAACGTCCTGCTAGGAGAAGAATTTTCCAACAGCTCAGACTGACGGGATGACCTTTGGAGTACCTTAGCTCGATGATAACGTGGTAACCAGCTGGCTGATCTTAGTGCCCGCATCTTTTCGTAAAAACAGTCCATGCTAAAGATGGAAAAACAGACCACATTAAGTATCTTAAACGTTAACTTTGATGTACAAAATCTTCATACTGGTACACTCCTAAATTCCATTTTCTCTAGTGTCTTACAATTGTTTTCAGTTCAAGAAGGAAGGTGAATTTAGCACCCTCTGGTTCAGAAATAGTCATCTAAGCACATCTGTCCCTAATTTGAACTAATAGACTAGAGGAAAAGCGACAACAACACCTAGTGGCAGCTCTTGGGCTGCTCGGGTCTAACCGAAGAGTGGAATTTCATCATCACTCTCATTATCATTCAAAATACAGTTGTTTCTCGTTCTGTATTTTGTAACCAATAATAAATCTAGGGTAAACAACAAACAACTGTATTTTGTAACCAATAATAAATCTGGGGTGAACGAGGAACGAGTGTATTTTGTAACCAATAATAAATCTAGGGTTTATTCACTTTACACCTGAAATTAAATGTATTTCATAACCAAACTCTCAGAGTGTGATAGAACACTTTGGTTGTTTGTGATCTCCACTGGTAGAGCTCGCTTCTACCGCCCAGCACACACTCTGTCACTCTCCCTCAGGAGCTAGCGCCAGGCACCTAGCGACCACCCCAGTTTAATAGCGGGTGTCAAGGCATTAAAATTGTGGATTGGGTTTGTTATACGTCACGTGGTTATTAAGGCACACAAATATGGTGTTAAAACACTTAATAAAATAATTTTATAATAATACGATGTGTTTAAAATATACGTATTTTAAAATGCTAATTTTTGACATAATATACTGTATATTCGTGTTTACATAACGGGAGGTATGCAAAGCATTATAAAGTTAAAGTTGCTGATATTACAATAGGGTTAGAATTATAGTAAATTAATATGATATGCGTTTTTAAAGTTTGTTTTAATGTTAGTGATTTTTATACGGTACCTAGTCATTTTTTCTATATTGCTTGATGTGAAGGAAGTTAATTTTTAGTGTTTTCTTTCGGTAATGTATGCATATTCAATTTATTTCTAGCTTAAATAGTTAGTGTTGCATATATTTTCTTTACTTAAAATAGACTCACGAAAATGGGAATTAGGTTTTAAATACGAGATCTCTGCCCTGATGGTGACATCACACGTCTGACAAAGTTTGGCAGAGCTCCGGTACTATAAAATTTAGCACAACCCCACTGCGCGTGAACACTAATATGTTTCCAGGAAAGAGGCACTTTTTGTATCCCAAAGGTTAAATACATGCGAGATATTATCTTTGGCGTCGTGTCTGAAAGTATATATGAAGGGATGTGTCACACTTCCAAGTATGAACCGTTTCTCCCAGAATAAGCACAAGTTCCCTCAAAATCTAGAAAACGGTTTGAAGAAAACAGGAAATGATGTCATTGATAATCTAGAAAACTGTTTAAATAGAACAGGGAATGACGTCACCGATAATCTAGAAAACGGTTTGAAGAGAACAGGAAATGACGTCACTGATAATCTAGAAAACGGTTTAAGTAGAACGGGGAATGACGTCACTGATAATCTAGAAAACTGTTTAAATAGAACAGGGAATGACGTCACCGATAATCTAGAAAACGTTTTGAATAGAACAGGAAATGACGTCACTGATAATCTAGAAAACGGTTTGAAGAGAACAGGAAATGACGCCAGGAAGACAGGAAATGGCGTCACAGATAAGGAAATGTATCCATTGTATTATGACGGGAATTCTATATCTACAGTATCGACCAATTATGATAATGTATGTATCTCTGAAGAAATATTTCAGTTTGTGGCGTTTCATGTACAGTGATGTAATTTAAAGTTGAAATAATAAAACCTCTCCAAAGAAAAGTTGTCATCAGACATCCTAGGATATGATGACGTAAGGCGTTATCGTGTACAAATTGTCCAATCATGGCTCTGCGCTATACATATATCAACGAGAACAATAAAATAAAATGCACTCCGAACAGCATTGTCTTGTCTGTAGACTCTCAAGTGATTAATGACGAAGTATCAGTTATTTTTTTGGAAAATGGAGTTATATGATTAAATTATGTGTGGACATTCCCGGATGTAAGACAGTATTCTAAACACGGTGATTCAAATGAAGATGCATACCCGTTTCGTGTTTTTTAAATCATTAAGTTTAGGTTTGAATAATGAAATTAAATACTTTTATTTTCCTATTAACGTAGTGTATGTTCTTAATGTCTAAAAGAAGGACAGTGTCTTTGGGATCTTTCTAATTTTGCACAGATATCAGTTTGATTCGATAATGAGATTTTTCTAAATTCTGGCCATGTGCTTTGTTGGTCATGTACTGTAATACAGTTCCATATATATGTGGTTACCAGTTTCGCCTATAGAAGTCTTGCAATAACGTCGAAAGTCATATGGTCTAAAGTATATTCCGCCATATTGAATGTCAACTACTTACACTCGTCGCCGGTGAAAAATGACAAATTTGTCTTCAAATATCGTTTAACCTG